TTCTTGCCCCCCTACTGCACAATACGGGAGAGGTATGAAAAACCATTCTAACAAATATTTAATATCCTAACACCAGGGTCCATTTATCCCAAAAGAAATGCACAACCTTCATGTTCAAGGGTACAATTTAAAAGGTGTTTGCAAACTGCTGGACTCCAGTTCTAAGCTGATTGCAAACCTGAGGTGATAGTATGCAAAACACATAGATTAAATGTTGTTAGATGGTTTACACAGCAAGAAAGACTGGAATGACCAAGTTCTCACAAAGAGATCATATGTTCACAGCTTCCTCACAAAAGCCTAAAGCTGGGATGAGAGAGATGATTTGCAAGAGACTCCTGAAAATGGTTTTTCATTCTTACCTGTTTGGGACTCAGTGACAACAGTTACATTGTCTTTTCTCCCAATACACAGGCCACCCATTTTCCATTTTAAAAAAGTTACCCTGGTGGGTGAGAGTGTTGAGGTATCTGATCTTTCCCAGTGGGCTAAAAGGTCAAACAGGACAACTAAACTGCTGCTTACATTTTAATATAAGCCCACTGCTGTGCAGGTGAAGACACTTTAAGGAAGCATTCATAAAGATAAAACATAGGACAATTTAGCAGTACAGTAGAACCCAGATCATTCATATCCCTTTAGGTAGCAACCCACGTAGTTTGCACATGGGGTTGCTGAGCGAAGGATGAGCTTCTCAGCTGTTTGCTGGAGTTTTGCCTTCAAAGGGTGCTGCTTCTCATTCACTTCGAGCTCATCATCAGCCAGCCCACATAGCTGTCTACTGCAGGGCTACATGCCACGCCCCCCCCCCCCGATAGTTCAGAAATCCTCATCCTTACAGGAGGCTAAGGAACCTAACCTTGCAAAGAATCTGTGTTCTCCTGTACACACTTTACCTACTTTGCTCAGTTTTCACTGTGGTTGGGAAGCTAGTCAATTGATGTCAATTGACTACATATTTTTGACTAATCAAGTATTTTACAATTTTACAAAAAAAAACCCCAAAACTTACATTTTTTTGTAGTTTTCTTGACAAAAAATATTATTTTAATTATTTTTTGACACAATTCCTAATGGAAATGTTGTGCTTTTTCTGTGTTACTTGGACTTATTAGCAATTTTTTACAATTTTTTACCAATATTTGACCAGTTGGTTTATTTGACTGGTCAAATACACAACCATATTTTTTATTTGAAAGTCTTTAAGTCAGTCTCATGGTTTTATGATGAGTTTTCAAGGTCTGACTATCAAAGCTGTAAATGCATGCTTTATTAGCATGCTGCACAACATAAAACTGTTTTTTCCCCCAAATTTAGCTGAGCTCAGGTACGTTTTGAACTCCTGCAGACGCAGACTGCAGTTCTCCACAAAGCTCCACAGCAAGAGAGATTAAACCCTGTAAATCCAGCAAGCCCCAAAGCCAGCTCACCCTTTTTTAGATGAACCCTGTTGATCTGATCCCTCTGTGCTGCACTTACTTGTTCATAAGCTCAGGCTCCCAGTGTCCAGGTAGATCTTTGTTCAAAGGTGTCAAACATTTGTATGCTCAACTGCAGCAGATTGTAACCTACATTTAGCATCCCAGGAGAGCTTCACATAGATTATAAACAGTTATAAAATAGGAAGAACCTTTGCCTGGAACCATGCGATGGGGTCCTTTCAGAATTATTTCTGTATACCAGTCACACAACGTGGATGCTAGAAAATGCATCTTAATTCAAAGTGAACTGCAAACTGAGTAATGATTAATTTTAGGAAGTGGAACCTGGGGGACAAGAAATCAATGTGCAAGTTTACTTTTCCAATGCACCCCTCCAAATAAAGCAGCAAATACTTGGTAACAAAACAAAACAAAGGGCTTAGGTTACATCCAGACGGTTAAGTAGGATGAGGACAACTGTATTTCTCAACACTAATTGCCAATGTCTGTAATGAAAAGCTAGGACTTTTCATCAAAGACATAAAAGAGATCAGATTTACCCGAAGAACCTTGTCTGCCGATGCCCTTAGACTAACATGGCTACAACCTGTACCTTATGCTACTATGACATTTATCTCTGGCAGAAAGCTGGAAGTGCTTTATGACTTTACTTGGATGGTCCAGGGCAACCCACTCTCCCACATAAAACCTAGATGCCTTGGTTTGAGGCATTGGCATTGGGTGTTTCCAGTTACTCTTCTGTCTCCAACTGTAGCTCACATAACTTCAGTTGAAAAAAATGAAAATGCTGCAAGCAAGCATAGCAAGTAACCTCTACAGACAGCAAAGCTTTCTTCCCTGTCCAAACAGAAAGGCAGCCCTGAAGACCTGGACTACCTTTCCCACGTGTTTTTCAAACAGATACTGCAGATGGCAGCCCTCAGTTTTATAAATCCCCAGGTGCACTGATGCATTCACACTGCAGGGAGCCACTAGAGGGCACCCTGTACGTAGAAATAACTGGTACTCAAATCCAAACCTGTTAAGTACAATCTTATGATTCTTTTCAGGAAGAATAGGGTCATTTTCTCTGCTGGTGGCTTAAATTACAGCTAGGATTGCTGTAACAACTAAAACTCCCACCACTACTCTGATGCTTGGGTGCATTTTTAAAAGGAACAATCATTGATTTCATTTAATTTCACACCTGGGGTTTTTATTTAGTACCCCCTCCCCTTTCCACTTGCAGCCCTGATTGCATTTCATCCAATTCTCCCAATCATCCCCACCCTTCAGTTAGCCCTTCCTAAGCCTTGATGAAAGATCTCAGAATAGCTCTTTGCCTCCCACAATAGCAGATGCTGACACTCTGCAGGAACTCTCTGAACACCTTAATCCTGCCTTTAGAATAATACTCGCTGTACATGAGACTCCCAAGAGTACTGCATATTACAGGACCTGGGCATCAATGCAACCAAAAAAAAACTTTACACAATACTTATATGTTTGCATTTCCCTATATTATGGTGGAATGGGAACAGACGCACTTCCAGGCTTCTAATCCAGCTATGCTTATCACTGTAAACTATCACACACACTGTTGCTATTGCTCATCTGCTCTCTATCAGAGTGATAACAGGTCTTGCAGGGGAAAGTGGTGTGAGTATCCTCTCAAAGGACAAGGGTTTGCTTTGAAACAGATTGCCCTCAGATGAAGTGAAGAAGCTGCTCTCAGCCAGGCCAGAGCAGGGGCCACCCAACCCCAGGACTCACAGGTAGAAGTTCCTTGTGAGACCTCTTCCAACACTGCTTGTGGGTACAGGAAATTCAAAACTTTAAACTGAGGCTGACAGGGACAGCAAAACAAGATGCAGTCCATGACCTGTTATTTGCTTAGTATTTGTTGCCCATGGGACAGCAAAGGTTGGGAATTGCAGCACTGAGCCTGCTTCTGTTGTGTCACAAGGCAGAGGCCTTGAGTGCAGATAAGTACATTCAAAAAGGAACATCCAAAGAACTTGTCAGCATGTAGAACAGTGATACTCAGACCCTGCTTCAGCTTATTGCCAGATGCTCTTCACAGAAAATGTTTTCAAAGGTTCGGAGATTTTTTTACTGCATGCACTGAGTATGTCTTTCCTGCAGCCCTGAATAATGCAATGCAGGCAGCCAATCATGGCTAAAACTAAAGAGGCTGACTACTTTTAAAGTATTTTCCCTGTTATACAGAGCAAATGTTAACTAAAGCACTGATGTTCTTTCTATCCAGATGGAGGGTGTTTGCTACTGGGGTTTGTTGTGGCTCTTTGGTTAACACAGATGATTCATGTGGTTCCTGAGCATCACTAATGTAGAGAGAGGTTGTCCTAAAAGAGAAAGTGTTATGATTAAAGCCCAATAGTTTGTTAAAAAGAGAGAGAGGGAGATCATATTTAAACACTTTCAAGAAAATACGTTTAAATTAACCCTTTCCGCTACAGCAGAAGTGTCAAACATACAGCTGTGCCCCAGAGCTGTGTTCTCTGGTCTACCACACTACCAGCAGGCCATGGGAATTTGGGGGGCATGGCCTCCTGCAGGATCTTAGCAGCAGGAGGGTGGCTGCTCTACCTCCCTGGCTACCATCTCTTACTGCATACCCCATGCTGCAACTGGAGCTACTGCTGCAGCACAGGGCACACAGCAGCAGCTCTGGCATACAGCAGGGATTGCTGCTATTGCCATATGCTCCAGGTCAGAGTCATTGCTGCTTCCTAGTGCTCGGGGCTGGATCTGACCCACAAGGAGCCCCACAGTCCAGATCTAGCCCAGGATGCAAGGCAAGTTTGACACCCTTGCCCTACAGGTCTTGCCACTTGAACCATAGAGCATGTTACTAGATTGGAGGACCCAGAAAGTGCACCTGACTGGTTGATTCCCAAAGCCTTCCACTGGCTTAAGCTATACTCCTCAAGCCCTGAACTGCAGTCTCACCCCACCCCACATTCTCTCCTCTCCCATTTGTTTCTCTGTGGCTTCTTCAGTATTGTCTGCAGACATGGATCCATCTCCCAGTCCCAAGGCAGCATGCCCATTAGCAGGATGTTTCTCCAATTCCTCATAGAATCATTTTTCCTGCCAAGTCACAGGCATTAACTCACCAGCCAAAGCCTCTAGGACAGGGGTAGGCAGCCCCCTGGCATGGGTGCCAGAGCACGCCACGCACATGCATTTTACTTGGCATGTATGCCTCGGGGCAGACAGCAGAGGAGGGACTGGGGCTTCACTGACAAAACAAGGACTGGGCCCCTCACAGCTCCCCCACCATCTACCCCAGCATGCCAACATCTAACAAGTCAAGGGTGCAGGTGTTTTTGGCACTCTGCCCAAAAACATTGCTGACCCCTGCTCTAGGACTTAAATACTTCTCTTTTTCCTCTAACTCTCCTCCTCTGTCTTATCCAATTCTGCCTTTTAAGTTGCTAGGTACTCAAGGCAAGAATTATAATATTTGCCTTACTCAGGAGCAGAAAGAACAAAGAAATGCAAAAGAGCTTGGGGGGGGGGTTAAAGCACAGATAAGAGGAAAGCAAGTGAGGGTTTTAACATTTCCATTTTAATGTAGCAAAATGGGTGTCCAAAATAGGTGTACATTGTAATGGCATTACAACCTTGTACATAGATATTTTTACCAAAGCAATTAAAGAATTAAACAGTTTAAAATCTTAAGCAGAAGAGAAGACTCCTGATGAACCTCAGTTTTTCAATACAGTTTTTAACTTAGAAAAGATGCAAAGAATGGTTACAGCTTGAAAGGTTGTATGGCAAGACAGACTGAGAGGTTGCTGTTCACACAAAATTGCTGGCAATGGCCAACACTTTGGAGTACTCTCCACCTTGCTGCCGCAAGGTAGAGGGAATGGGGATTTTTATTCTAGTCCCCGTTGGGTTTCCGTTGTCTTCAATGAGCACCACGTTGTTGGAATCAAATCTAGGACTCATACGAGGACCAGGCATCTTGTGCCCTACAATTAAAGCCTTTTTCTTTTCTCCTTTGATAGCCAAGAGAATCGTATCCCCTACTTTACCAACTCCAGTCTTGTTATACACATGGATGCACTTGGGTGGCCGGTGGTACGGAGTGTTCCCCAAGGCACTGTTGTCTACCACTCGTACACGAGTCAGCTTCTGTATTGCACCACATGCTCCAGTGAGGCTGGCAAAAGAGAAGCAAGAATGCTAGACAGGCCTCCTCAAACAATCCTTGGGGATCAAGGGCAAAGAACTGGACAGAATCAAGCTGTTACGCAAGCCACTGATAAGGAGCCGGCAAGAAATACATACCATATTGTTGACACATCGACTGCATTCAAAGCATTCTCTAACAGCCCGAGGCCACTTTGGGCTTTGCAAACACTTTAAAAAATACCAAACTTACACGGGCCATTCTACTCTGGAATGTGGATATAACATGGTGTTTTGGGGGCCCACATTTACTGCATCTTTTACCAAGTCCAGGTAAAGTACATCCAGTCCACACACAAAAGGATTTGGGTGTTTTCAATACAAGGTGCAGGCCTGGAGATAAGGGAGCTGAGGGGGATCCTTTCATTCTTGCAAAGTGACAAAGGATCAGCATGCTCTCTCTCTCCCTTCAGTGCCCCTGTGACACCCCACTGCCTTAATACTCTGCCCCCAGTGACACTTTCAAAGTCCCACTGTCCGTGCACAAGTGCCATGAATTGGACTTTAATAGACTATTATCTTTGTGAGGTAAAAAGAAGAATCATGTGCCAGCTGGATCCTCAAGGCAATACAAATGCATGTTGGTATGTAAACTCAGCAGATCTGATCTGGAATAAGCTACAACAATGGCAGGGCAGATTCACAGAGTAAGAAGGGATCATGTTCACTTTCCAGAGCTGAACCTGACTTTATGGTACTTTTCTGTTCTTTTATCCAGATGAGGTTTTCAATACCAAATTTGGAACAGCCCTGTTCAGAGAAGACACAGGCTCAAGTCTAGGGAAGCATTTCATCACGACAGAGTAAGGAGCAGCAATCAAGTTGACTCATACTGGTCCAAACACAGTATTGGACTAACACTAGGAGGGGTATTCCCTGTTATACAGTGTCCCTTCAAGAAGTTCAGGGTGAAGATACAGCCCATCCACTCAGGCTCTCTCTAGAACAGTGGTTCTCAACCTTTCTGGACTTGAGGCACCCCCTCCATAGCTTCTGTGAATTGAGTGGCACCCTACTTCAAAAAGTAATTTATATATTACTGTGCTTACCTCCTTGCAGAGGGGCTGGGCTGTGGGAGTGGGGAACTGTTCAGGCAGAGACAAGCCTGAGTGTACACTTATCTCCTCAGTTTGCAGTACCCTTCAAAGGATCTGGCATCACCCTGGTTAAGAATCACTGCTCACAGATCATCAAATGAGGATTTCCACAGCAGAAAAAACACAACCAAAATAGGGCCTTCATTC